TCCAAAAACAGCGTTTAAAATAAATTTATTTTTAAAAATAATTGATCAAACACTAAGTTCTTTAAATAGTAGATTAGGTTTTTCTAGTGATATTTTTAAATTAAATGACGAGGATCTTTTAAAATGCTGTCGTGCTTTACAGCAAAAGCTAACTGATCAGAAAAAGGAGGAGGCTGACGTAGAACAAAATGATTTATTTAATGAGATAAGAGACCTAAGATTGTTTTCATTACCTGAAGCGTCAAATCCCCTCGACATTTTACAATATATATTTGAAAACAATCTAACTTCATCTCTACCAAATATTACCATTTCGTTAAGAATCCTGCTTACTTTACCTGTATCTGTAGCTTCTGGTGAGAGATCCTTCTCAAAATTAAAAATAATTAAAAATTATTTGAGGTCTACCATGTCACAAGAAAGATTATCGGGTTTGGCAATCTTAGCTATAGAGCAAGAGATCCTCGATAAAATTGATTTTGACAATATTATAAAATAATTTGCAGCAGCCAAATCCAGAAAAAAAACTATTTAATTTTTGGATAATTGAATGTTTTATTTGTTTACAGTTTGGTTTGTTTTTTCATTTGTAAGAATAAAATATTGGTTTTTGAAATATCTGTCGTTTCATTACAAAATTAAAATAAAATGTGGTTTCGCAATTCGCTAAAATGTTAAACGACTACAAGAATATTACAAACCAAGACAGCTTAAAGTTGTTATTCTTCAAAATATTATTTATATAAGTGCTACATATATTCAAAGGGCGCCAAAATATTTCCTGTGCTTGATAGAAATATTGATTTATTGTTTTTTCGTTAAAAGTTTTTTCATTTATTTACTAAGAAATTAAAAAAGAGTGGTACCTACTTTTCACAAAATATTCAAAAAATATAAAATATGCATGAAATATAAATCTTTAGAAATAGTTATACTTAATCATTTCTATTTCCTCCTCCTCTTAAAATGTTCACGATTTAGTAAGATTATGTTATGTTTGATGCTTAATAGTGATTGTGAAACAACTATTGTACAGATTTGTACTTGATAAGTCATATAGAGCAGCAATTTGAAACCATATACAACAAACCAGGGTAAAGAAGGACTTACTCTAAGCTTGTTTTAATAACATAATTCTGCATGTCTGAATAGCCGCCTTATTTAACAAACAAACAAACAAGACATTTCAAAAACTAAAACCACTTCCGGTTTTACTAGTTTATGACATAAAATCAATTATTTTTATCATGTTAATAATTGTTATTGATAAAAAAAGCAAATTTCATAAATTTTATTTTTGTTTCAGACCAACAAAATATTAGAAATATAAAACTCGCGGCAAAGGTTAGGCATTAGCTTCAAACCCTAATATAACATCTAGTTTTTTGTTTTTTGCTGTTTCTGATAAGTAGTTAACTACTGCTGGATCTTGGTTACATTATCAACTAATTTAAAATATGTAAATGAGCCGAAACCCTCAAAAACCTCGATCAATCCACGGTTATTATTATTAATATTATTATTGTTATTGCTATACCCGAAATTCGAAAAAAAAAATCCATTGTGAGATGCCCGCGACCGGCCAGACCGGGACCGTAAGAAACTTTTGATACGCCCGAAAAATGACATAAAACCATTCTTCCATTATGTAAAAAGATGATGGAGGGCCGACCATGGGCCCCTTTTTCTTTTTTATTCACCGGTCGATCGTAAATAAATGCTATAATGGCCGTATCGCGGCCCACTATGAGAATTCCAGACGTCTTATGATACGCGCCATGGGCGCACCTTCCATTCTACCGAAAGACATCCTTCGATTTTTAATAATATCAAAATAATATTTTAATACGATGGTAAACAAAAGGAGTGGCCATAGGTCTATTGACCATTTATTTCTCCTCTAATGTGGTCATCTTAAAGAAGAATCTAAATCTAATTGAGACTAATAAAGAAAAACTGGCAAGGGTCAATAATTAAATTAACAAAATGCATAAACAATAGGACAAAAACAAAAAAAGCCAACTCGTCCCCAGAAACTTTTCCTGGTCAGCATGGATGTAGTAAAAATATACAACAAAAGAAAGAAATACTCAATAAAACAAAAGAGATCTTCCCCCTATAACATTAAGTATGAAAAATTGCGTCATACACTTATGACAAATAATATTTTCTTTCAAACCACAGCTTTAAGAAATAACCAATTTAAAATTATTACCAAACAAGAAGAAGAAACCTTATATGTGGAAGAGATAAATTGGCATTCATATGAAATTAAACAGACCAGAAACATTAAAGAAATGGTTAGAGGTTTACCATCTATGTTTTACTTTATATTTGTTATAGATTTCTTCACATTTATATTTGTTTATTCATAATTAAAAACACCTTATACTTTAATAAGATTTATTACTTTTTATAGATGGGATGTACGCTGGCATGCTTCATGCCCGTCCGATATACGACACTGTTCATGCCAACCTACAAACATGGCTACCAACACATAAACTATAACTACTAACCATAGAACAATTTACATCTAAATCTGAAGAACTTGAATTAACTGCGGATAACATTTGTAAACTAAATAAAAAATAATTGCTGCCCTTCGTCAGTACTGAAGACATCAAGAAAATCGAATCAAATCAATACTTGATCTAAGAAAATCGAAGCTATAAGAAAGTCAAAACTAGTTCCGCAATGCAAAACTGCCATATGTTTGGTTACATACAACTTTTTCAAACGAAAATGAATATGTGTAAAGTACGTAGGAGAGCATCATACGATGGATTGCAAAAAAAGTGCAGAACAACAGTCGAAGTGTGTAAACTACTTAATGTAATACCCTGCTAACTATAGAGGATGTGAGGTAACTAAAAACTTTCAGAGAAGGAAGGATAATACGACGAGGCAGATAAGACTCATAAATGCCTATCCTACTATCAGAAACGAAATAATATCTCAGGTAACAAACTTACATTAGCAACCAATTCAAAGATCACAACCAGTTTTAGAACCTGCACTACAAATGGCGTGGCATACTGCAAGTACCACTTTCTGACAGGCTCCAGAAGCTAGAAAAAATAAAGCACAAATATATAACAATATCAATAGTATCGTCCAAAAATAACCTGATATCAAAGTTTCCTTGGACGTATGCAATGTTACCAATGTTACTCATCGCCCTACAGTATGCTGCGGTCGTTATAAGTAAAAGTACTAGCAAAAGAAAAGAAAGATATGTCTGGAAATGTCAATCCAAGTCAAGGAAAAGTCTAGACAGTTCGAGAAAGTTCGAGAAGGTTATAGCAAAATCCTGACATCAGTTTTCAGTTTTATGATAGACGTTACATGGTAATGTTATCAGTTGGATAGTTCTTGTAAAAGTTCAGTTGAAATAAATTGTGATATCAAAAAAGTTGCGTAACAATGGTGACAGTGATGGGATACAAAGTAGAAGTTCATGGTAAATACTAGATCCACTGGGTACGACACAGTCATGGATACTTCAGGTCCCCCAGCATGGTTTTTGAAGATGGAGGACGAAAAGGAAAGGGGTAGGAAGGAAGAAAAAAAGAAAAAGAAAGGCGTAGGAATGAAGAAGAGAAGGAAAAGAAAAGGCGTAAGAAGGAAGAAGAGGAGGAAAAGGAAAGGCGTAGGAAGGAAAAGGAAGAGGAAAGAGAAAGGCGTAAGAAAGCTGAGGTAGGAATTATGAATGTTATGCTGTAAATTCAAGATAACCTTAAGCAAGAGGTAGGTCAGCTAAACAGCCGAGTAGACCTCTTAACACAACAACAAAATAATTGTAATGCCAACTTAGAACAGCAGCAAGAGAATCTAAAAACCAATTTACAGAACCTAAAAACGAATTTAGAACAACAACAACAACAGAGTTTAAAGAGTAATTTAGAACATCAACAAAAACAGGCTAGAGTAGAGTTGGAAAGGCAAATTAGAGCTGAAATGGCCGAGTTAGAGAAAAAAATTCGTAGCCAAGCTTCCATAAACAACATTCAAGTTGAAAACACTACCTCATCTTCATCTGTAACCGGCCCAAGCTGTATTCAAATCCCAGTCTCACAAAACCATAGTAGTAAGACCCTGAAAACTGACGTCAGGATCACTGCATATATATTTTGCTTTAACCTTCTCGAACTTTCTTCTTTTCAATTGTTGTAGGTCTCAGCTGCCAGGGCTATTCGGCCTATGGTTTTAGGTTGATTGGTGGTGGTATCACATACTTTGATTTTCTTTTACTATACGGAGAATGGTCGCACTGCGCAGCTTTCTGAGTGCCTTTTAAAAGGAGATAGAAAACTCCGCCATTTTGATCCCTTATTACGTGTTGCCTACATCTTGGCGCAATATTTTTAATAGGTGCGTTTTAATCATCCGCTTCTGCTTCGGAATTATCGGTTTTCTTGTTTTAATCTGACAGGTTAAAACGACTAAACCGACAATTCCGGAAGCAGAAGTGGATGATTAAAACACACCTGATATTTTGCTTGCTGCTGTCAGTGTCAGTGAATATTATTTTTGGAGTCACAGTTTATTGCCAAAGAATCAGTTAGCTCACTCGGACCAGTTGAAAGTTCCAAAATAACATCCACTTCAGGGATATAAATTCAGGATACGCAGAAGACTGCTGTTTTATTATAGGCGGTTGTCATATATTGTATTATCCGAGTTGCGCAGTGTATAAACTGGAACATTGAGATAAAAAGTGCCGACGCAGAGTGAGCGATCTGATTCTTTAGCTATAAACTGTGGTAAAGGCATCAAAATGGCCGCTTCCTATGTTGGGCGTGTCGGACCTCTCTCTTGCACCGTATAGTAGTAATCAAAGTATGTGGGTGGTATCGACAATTATTCGCAATGAGGTAGGATTGGAATGTTACCCTACTTTATGGTTTGTTATATATATACAAAAAAAACTCGTCATATTTGCAACTCCATTATTTGGAACTGGTGTATTTAGTAACGGCTTTGGTACCTTCACTTACTGCGTGCTTTGCCAATTCACCAGGAAGTAATAGTCGAACGGCAGTTTGGATTTCTCTACTAGTTATTGTGGACCGTTTATTGTAATGTGCAAGACGAGAAGCTTCAGCAGCAATACGTTCGAAGGTATCGTTTACGAAACTGTTCATAATGCTCATAGCCTTACCCGAAATTCCAGTATCGGGATGAACTTGTTTCAAAACTTTGTAAATGTAAATGGCATAACTTTCCTTCCTCCTGCGCTTCTTCTTCTTATCGGTTTTAGAAATATCCTTTTGGGCCTTGCCGGCCTTTTTCGCAGCTTTACCACTTGTTTTGGGGCAATATTCAATGGTAGGGCTCTTATGGCTTCACTTTTGAATTACACAGTTTTTAATACCTCACAGTTGATAGTTGCACTACAGTTTGATGTTGGATGCTGTTAGAAATCCGGAAATGATTTTAATGTTTTCCGTTTAAAAGTTTGAACACTAAATTGGACACTAAGAAGGGACTGTATATATTTTTTGGAATCTTCAACGATTTATGTAGAACTTCTTTGTTGTGTTGATTCGTTGAACATGATAAAAAAATATGCTGTCCACAATCGCACAAGTCACTGGGAATCATCTTCAGTCTATTTAGGTAGGACCTTGTTAAGCAGTGGTTTGCTCTCATTCGAGATATAGTGCCTTTTCTAGATGTGTCGGTGTATTTTTTGAACCAAGGAGACTTTTTAGGCTTTTTTGTGAATTGGGCACATATAACTCCTTTGCACTTTCCAACTTTTTCGAATGAGTCACACCATTCTTCGAAACTCTGTTTGAGTTAATGACATCCATTGTAGTGTCCAGGAGGAAATGTGGCTCTTGCTATACGAAGATCACTACTCCAAAAATACCAACTGGGGTTTAAGATTAATCACAGTCAAAGGAAAAGAATTGCACCGTGAAGACAGCGGACTGTGTTTTGATGAAATTAAATAAATTAAGGTATGATTAGGAACTTGGCAATGTATCCTATAAGATGCATTTACCTTCTGTCATTTCGGGTTGAAGTTTTTTTACAAAAATAATGTCTATAAGTATAAATACGACTTATTATTATTATTATTATTTGGAAACACATCTTATATTTTTATTTCTAATAGATATCTCAAAATGTTCATTAATATTGAATCAAGCCTATTGACAAATTCATGGACCAATATGGTTCTAAATGTATGTATACTACCCAGAATACATATAGGTATTGAACAATTGTATTTATATTAGCATACTTTTGATGTATCCTATAGGATACGTTGCCAACTTAAGGGTTAAGAGGTACCAGCACTTGCCAAGGTTTTGGACGCAATCAATAGTGATCCGTATTTTCCTAAAATGGGAAAGACAAAACTACGGGAAACTCCAAATTAAAGTCCTTGGTTCTATTGAAACGATTATCTTCATAGAGACCTGAAGATGCCAACAATCGAAGAAAAAATAAAGAAATTTGCTGCGAAATATGAGAATCGAGTTGCCTCACAACGTCAGTGAACAAGCACTGCAATTATTATACAATTCTCCATTAAACAGAAGGTTCAAACAAAGTTTTTACAGATCTATATAAACAAAATTTACATTGAAATAAAAATAAAATAAATATTGTTATAAAAAACCCTATTTAAAAAGTAATTCTTTCCGCTCATGGTATAGAAGCCAAACCATACAGAAAGATGCACATCGAGAATTAACATAATGTTTTTTGGAATTTGAATTTGCTTCATTCAATGGGTAGATTTTTTTTTCTTCGTCTCGTTTCCTTTTGATACGGATGAACGTTTTTATAGTGAGAGAAGAAATTTATTGGTATGGCTTTGTAAATATGAACAGGTGGAAAAATATATATCTGCCTACCTTACCTAGATGATTGTATTTTACGAAAAAATAAAAATCGAAAAGAGGATTAATTTCCAACATAATAATATATTCTTATTAGTTATTCTAAAGATGCAGAAAATAGATTTGCTGGATTGTATTTGATATTATATTCGACTTATATTCTATGGTTCGATTTTATGTTCTTACAAGATAATATTTTCTAATATTAGGTAATATGTTTTTTATATTTTTAATGTTTTTGCATTTTAAATAATTTTATATTTTTATATTTTTAACGTTTTTAAATTTTAACTTACAGTACTAATACCAATACAATTATACTTCTCATTGTCACGTACAAGACATGTCAATATGGCCTCTGTGACTTATTGTTTATTATATGTTTTTTATGTATGTATATTTTCAAATTATATTTGTAAACTTATTGATTCATAATAATTCAATTCAATTCAATTTCTATAAAACTATTTTTTGGACTGGTAATATGGGCTTAAAATACAATTGTTTGTATATAACCAAAGAGTTGTAAATTAGATTGATCATCAAAAAATTTGTGGTATACTTATTATTGTCATTTTTTTAATAATTACAAAAGTTTCCAGGTATTTCAATTAATCGGATTATGTGGATTAACCCTACTATTAACTGCTTGTTAAATACTTAGTTGTTGTTTCAATGGGATAAGAAAAATTGAATTTTATCTATTTTAAGATATTCTCAAATAATAATTTTCCCAATAAATAAATTGACAGATCATATTTTATATGGAACACTATCTGGAGATAATAATTTATTTACAATAAACATCCTATAGACGGATTAACACAAATGATGAAATTAAAAAATTATATCCTTATCTGCAATAAAATAATTTGATAATTATATATAAAGGTAACTTTTCAAGCAAAATTTATGAGTAACATTTTAGTTTAGCCAAGTTTCATTAGTAGCTAAAGAAAATGTTTAAAATTTCTGTTTTTGTGACTGCAGTTGTGTGTGTTTCATTAGCACGTAAGTTTTTATATTTAAGTTTATTAATTTTTAATAAAAATGGTGTAAGATATTAACAGTTTCAAAATATTAAATAAATGTAATTCCTATACGAATTTTATTAATTAAAATAAAGGAACTATAATTTGGGCACGAGCTTTAACGAACTCCAGAATGAAACTCTGAAAAAAAAATAGTATAATTGGATCGTATGCGAATAATATACATTATAATGAAGGAACGATAATTTTGGTACGACCTTTAACGAATTCCAGAATACAACTCTGAATTTAAAATTAGAATAAAAAAAGTAAAGGTAGAGTAAAGTCGCCTAATGTGGAATAGCATTTTATTTTAATTAAAAAAAAAATGATAAACTTCAATTTTGTTTTTAGATATTTTGTATAGATATAGGTAAGGGTATTAGGGATATATAGTTCATGTCACAAAAATATAAATCTCCCAAAAAAATCATAAAAAAATAAGAATATAAAATGAGCCTTTTTTTAGATCTTCAAAAATGGGTTCCTAATGTGGAATATCTATGTTCCAAGCGAAAAATAGCATTCGTTATAAAATGTTGATTGAAAAAACTTTGTTTTTTGAGAAAGAAGTTTATTTAAACAATAAAGATACAAATATATTAGCACAAAGAATTAAAAAAAAATTTAAACTAACGGCAAAAGTCGCAAACGTAGGGTTCTTTTTCGGGTCCTGCACACTCTTCATGTGCCCAACAGTTACATAGCATGCACATTACCCAAATTTCTCCTTGATTATTATCTGAAAACTTATCTTCACAAAAAATGCAATGTGCATCTTGGTTAGGATTATTTTCCTGTTTTGCAAAATCTTCTTCGTCATCTGAAGAATTCTGCATGGAAATGCTCGATGCATCAGATTCAGCACTTGATGAAGACACATCTCTCTTTTGACGTTTAGTTAGTGTTTTCTTCGTATTACGTCTACCTTCTTGAGATGAACTACAAGATGGATTTTCGGAAAATACATTTTTTTTTACTATGTCCTTTTTTTGAGTCGCTGCGTTTGTGTCTTTCATTTGAACCGATTTCTCTAGGTCTTCCTTATTTGGCGTAGTAGTTATTATTTTGGCTTTCCGGATTTTCGGCCTCTAGTGCCTACTTTTCTCTTTACGGTCGGTATTGGTGAAATATCTTCTGGACCAACAGCTTCTACACTTGGATTTCGGATTTCCTTTTCTTCTTCTGCGGCAATCATTCTTGGCTGTGGGGTGGGATTATTGGCTATTGGACCAACATTACAAACCTCTTGTTCAACGGTTAGAAAGTCCACTTCGCTGAAAATGTTTCTCCTAGTAGGATAAATTCCTGTAGTTGCGAACCCTTTGACGGCTCGCTCCGCCGATTGCGTCTTTTGGCATTTTTCCTGAAACAAATGCAAATATGCTTAATTTTAGTTATAGTTTCCTATTGTGGAATATTCCACTTTAGGGCACCTCTCCTATTCCACTTAAGGAGACTTTTATTATTTTATTTCATATCAACATAATCGAAACTAAAATGGTTATTTGCATTAAATATTAAGCATATTATAAAACTACAAACTATGTACTTTAACTCCACAAAATATCTTACCTTTAATATTAATACCAACGGAGATAACACACCTTTTATTTATACAAAAATGTCTACTGGGCTTGAAACTATATTTGCTTCGCTCCCGTCGAACCACTGACGCTATCCATATCAAAGTCTTCCACGTACGAAAACATTTTAGGTGGGGCGTTTGATGCACTGGCTTGTAAGTAGATGGCGCCTATAGATCACCGTATAACAGCGTATTCCTTTTTAGGAACCTATTCCACATTAGGCAACTTTACTCTAATAAATATTATGTTCATATGGGCAGGCTTAAAGGGTAAAAAGACCAAATATTGTTACAGTCTATTCGCTATACTTACAGGGATTTCGGATTAAAAATTTTATGAGTATTTCCAGGTAAGTACCCGAAAGTTTGACCTGTTCTTTGGGGAAATATCAACTGGTTAAATGAAATGAAAAATAATGTACAACTTTTTAATTAAATAATAATGGAGAATCTTTTGTATAATTGAGAGCAGAATTAAACTTCTTCATTAATGGAGCCACCTATTATAAACCTAATAATAATTTTATATTACACTTCACACAGAAAATATGTTCTATGTATAATAAGAGGGTTATTTAGCTCAAATAAAATATTTTCTAACACAAAAATTTGTTCCATGTAGAGAATTTCAAATAAAAAATAAAAAAATTTAACTTGCCAACAAAAATGAAAATCAGTCATTATCATCTAAAATATCATAATCGTCATTATCATCACTATCATCACCATTAATTGTTATTATTATTGGACTTATTTCGTTTATTTTATTTTCACGAGTTTACCAATCTTTTATTAGTTTCTCGCACTTGGATATACAGTTCCGCCACACTTCTGGAGTTGCAATTGAAAGTGCTTTTCGCCAAGTTTCCCGAACTGCGTCGTCACTATAACCATTATAACTATTTTCACGCATAAAAATGTACTTGAATTTTTTACCTTAAATATCAACTTTTTTACAGCTTCCATACATTCAGCATCATGCGTCTTGGGTTCACTATTTTCCCATGAATCAGATTGTACCAAATTTTACCAATGTACAAACTGGGGCCCGCAAGAAATGCCTTGTGCCCCCGGAACTGTCTTTAATCCAAACATTGGGGTATGCGATTGGCCACAACCAGGACTCTGCGACAAGCCAAAACCTCCAGCACCAGAACCTCCAGCACCAGAACCTGAAAAACCTCAAACTACTGAAGAACCCGTCAAAGAAACAGAAAAACCTCAAACTACTGAAGAACCCGTCAAAGAAACAGAAAAACCTCAAACTACTGAAGAACCCGTCAAAGAAACAGAAAAACCTCAAACTACTGAAGAACCCGTCAAAGAAACAGAAACACCTCAAACTACTGAAGAACCCGTCAAAGAAACAGAAACACCTCAAACTACTGAAGAACCCGTCAAAGAAACAGAAAAACCTCAAACTACTGAAGAACCCGTCCAAGAAACAGAAGTACCTCAAACCACTGGAGAACCCGTCAAAGAAACAGAAGAACCTCAAACTACTGAAGCAACCACTACGGTAAAACACGAAAACGAACCTGAAGAACAAGAGACTACTCAAACACCAGAAGAAGATGTCGAAGAAGAACATGGTACCACCGCGTCTCCAGAGGAAGAAAATGAATCCACTGTAGAACCCGAACAGGACACTGGAAAGCCAGAAGAATCCGATGAACAACAGGAAACCGTACAGCCCGAGGAATCCGATGAACAACAGGAAACCGTACAGCCCGAGGAATCCGATGAACCAGAGGAAGCAGAAGGATCAGCAGAAACAGAGACACCAAGTAATGACGATGAAAATAATCAGACAACAGAAGAACCAAAAGACAATGAGGAGGAAGTAGACGAACCAAGTGATAACGATGAAGATAATGAGGATGCAGAGGAATCGAATGAACCTGAGGTATAGTATAAGATATTTTATATAGCGTGAGTCATGACTATTGGGACATTGAGCAAGAAGAGGTTGTTTGGACCAAAATATGGGGATTGCTGTGAAAAAAATAGATTTTTTTTGTTTTTTAGTAATAATTTTAAAAAATTAGCATAGACCCATAAATTTAGACAAAGAATATTATTTAACTGATTGAGACATACTTTTTTCACTAAACCTTTTAGCAACTTTGATTTGTAAATATGATATAAACATCATTTTTATGTAAAATTGTTATACCAGTTTAAACTTAATAATTTTTGACCGTTTTAGAGAAAAACGCAATTTAACACTTTATATCTTTAAAAAGAGTATACAAACTTACTTGATTTCGTTTTTCCTGTAATGTCATTCCTAATTTTTTTTTACATAGAAATATACTATGAGCTTCTGGGTTTAAAAAGCCATGCCTATATTACCCCTTCTATTATTGTTTTGTTAATCTTTTGCTTATTTAACCTTTCCTTTTCTGCCTCTAAATATTCTACACCTGTTGGAAACTTTTCTACAAAAGAAGATTCATTTAACTTCAATTTTAACACCCTATTCTAATATTTATGAATCACCCTGTATATCATTGATTTGGTGGTAAAACTTTGAGAAGTGAAACTTTAAGATTTACTTATGCATTTTGTCAATAATATAATTCTATTTTTTTTTATTTTAGGAAGAAAATTTGGACAGTATATGTCCAAAAGGAATGGCCTTTATTGAACATCCATCCAACTGTCACCAATTCGTGCTTTGCAGTAACGGAGTTGCCAATGTGATGG